ATGTGTTGGCGTGTGCCTGTGTGTATGCATGTGTTCGTTGTCTGACTCGATAAGCCAGCGGAGTCGAGGGAGTTGTCAGAAGGTGGTTGCCCTGGTTTCCTTAGCAAGAAAGATGAGCATTTCCTACACAACCTCAGAACAAAGAGGCAACCTGCTTGACAGTAGCAAAGAAAAAATAAGCATCGGAAAAAGTTCCCAAGCCAGTGAATCTCTTACCAAAGCCAAACAAAACAGATCAGATCCAATAGCACTAACACTAATCAACACCTCTGCCTTTTCTTTTCCTGCTACATATCTTCACGTTAGAGCAGACTATGTGACTTATCAGTCCTCATCTGATTGTGAGCAGCCATTGTGGCAGAGGATTAAAACTCTTCCACACACACACTCATCTCAGTTTCCTGGAGGCAGTTTGTTTGCTGTACTCCCGTCTGAGCTCTCTCCACCAGCTGAGGGATTTTTCAGATCTAGCGCACAGCCTCCTTGGGCTTCTCTAAATGAATTAGTGAGGCCTGAGTAGCTACATTTTTAGCTTCATGCACTAGATGCACATTATCTTGAGTTGCTGAAAGCCTACATACCTGCTGTGCCTCGCTATGACCGTTCGGCTGCCATCAAGAGCCCGCAGAGAGGTCGGAGAGGCAGCACAGGATAAAGAGGGCGCACTGGAGAGAGCGGCTGATGACAGCAAAATCGATTAATTGAATGAGTGGACAACTTGCGCGGATTGAGTTGCACTGCTGTGATAAAACAAAGTGCACATTATGTTTTAAAATGAGTAAAAAATGAGTTAAGCACATTGAGGCCCTGCGATGATAGCAACTGCATTCACTACCTCGTATCTTTTATAGCTGCAGAAACTCCCTGTGCTTCGCTGCAGCTCAGACAGACGCTGAGGCACTAGAAGACGCCTTAGCTTTCCCTCCCAGGAGATTCACATCCTCCATCAATATTTAAGTTTGTTTATGTTTAGCTGCTTCACTTTATTGACCATGCTCAGGGTACTTTTGTTTTTCTTTACTTATCTTTGTTTTCATAATGCCCACTGGATTTGTGTGTTGTATTGTGCAGAACTCTTAGTTTGTTAATTCACAGGTTTTCCTAGAAAACAAGAGCACAAAACATTATTCTGCTGTGTGCGCTTTGGTTTTCACTCTTCTTCTTAAATAATGACACAAGCTATAAATTATATCATGCGATCCATACCGTGCTGCTGAAGTATACAATTAGTCTTCTCTTCATCTCTAGCACAGCGGTTCCATAAATACAGCAAACACAGCCGCACTGAATTTCTGCCACTTCCCAAGCAGCACAACATCACTGCACACTTAGCATGGATGTAGCCATTATCTGCAGCATCGTTAAATTCTGCCACGCACCGTTATCCCCTAATAACACCCAGTTTAATGCTCACTTAGCTGAACACTAGTCAGTGATCTATGACAACCCCATAACTCTTACAAGAATCTGGCTGGTTTGCTGCCAGCTTTATCCATGATCGAGATGGGCAAGATAAGCAGATCACAGGTGCACTACATCAGTCTCTGCTAGTGTCAATGGGATTACCTGTCCTCAGTACCCTGAGCTGTACAGAGGGAGGGATGGAGCAAAGAAGCTGGGGAAATAGGTCAAGCACACTGATAAGGGCAGGTGTTCTTTTGAAGAAGTCTTTACAGTCTCCAGAGGACCAAGTACAGAGAAACATTACTACTTCAATAAAAAAAAAGGAAGGGAGAGAGAGAGAGAGCTTCTGTTAAAATCAGTGCAGCAGTTCAAGGCACTCTCCTCACTATGTTTGGTAAAAATCAAAAGTGAAACAATTGCATGTCTGAGCTCTGTAGTTAATGACATTTGGAGGATGCATGTTGCTGTAATGATGCACCCTGCTACACCCTCTCCTTCTCTTTCACTGTATTTCTGATCACACAGTGCAAAAGAAAATGCTAATTACTTCAGATTGTTTCCCTTTTTTTGGTTGGCTTTTGGATGCATTTTATTCAGGATCCCGATAAAAGGAACTGCAAAGTTTTGGTTAGCTATCTGCTAATATGATCCTATTGGTACTGAAACGGATACTGCAGCGATACTGAGGGAACAGTAGGGGAGCTGAGGAGGATGCAGGCAACACTCACAAGTGTTAATAGAAAATGCGCTCAGTTCTTATTAAATAAAAATATGAGTATCTAAAGAATAGGCCCTTGTCTTTTGAAGTCTGCCTTAATGAACTACTCACATGTCCACACAGAGTTTCAAAGTTACTGATCACTGGGATCGTTGCTCCTGTCCATGCTGGCCATGATGAAATTGTTTCCTAAAGTTTGCATGTGAATATTGTTTGGAGACTTGAAAATATGTGAGCACGTTCTTTAATTATTTCAGATTTAATAGTTAGACCTTATCACTTTTGTTTAAATGTCATCACCCTGTCGGTTTTGGGGTGCAAGCGATAATCATGTGCACATCGCCAACAGAGGAAAATCATATTTGCTTCTGAGTTGTAAATACAGATTACACAAATCCCTAGGTGCGTTGAATATACTATATACTAAAATAGAACCAAAAAACAGAACATTCTAACCAATAAAAATGCATGGACACAATCTTTTGTGTAGTGAATAATTATTACAGACATTACAGGCACATTGCTTTTACTTTCCCCTTCCAATACAATTATTGAACCTGGATAAAATGTTGGCTTCTTTACAACCTGTCTAAATTTTTTGGCCGCCCATCTTTTGGACAAACATTTTGTCTCCAAATCCTGGTCATTACTGCAGCTTCAGAACCTCTGCTGATGTCCCAAAACCCTTCTGTCTAAGCAGGCCTTTCATTAAACTCTTCTCAGGAACAGGAATGATAGGCTATTTTTTATTAATATGTAGCATTACCACTTTAACAAGACAGGTTCTCAGGTGTAGCCAGAGGGATGATGTCATTGTGACAAAGGACAAAATGGTCGTGTCTTTCATGTTGGCAAACCTTCCATTAAATAAAGAGAAGCTAAAGAGAAAAGAGCTGGTCACGCTGGATAGAAAGACAAAGCTAATGCTTAGAACAGGATTTCGAGCACAGGTGGCACTGTATCTCTGCACTAACACTGAATCTGTCGACCCCCTCTGTCTTCTGGGAAAGTAGCTTTGACCTCATGATGGATTTTGCATTTGGCATCCTTTTGACTTTCCTCCAATGCCAACATGAAATAGAATTCACATACTTTGAAGTTAGGTGTCAAAACACGAGTCCTCACTTGATAATGAATAAGTTATGTCTTGTGGTCAAAGTTTTATTCTTTAAGGTTTGTTTGGATGAAGTTCAAATCGTATGTTGTTCTTTACAGTTGGTTTTCAGGTTACAATTTAAACATTAGAATTATGGTAGACCCATTTTGTAAGGGGAGCAGGGAACTGCATCCATTGTCAGTAAATACAAAACCAAATTTTCATTGTTCAAAGGTGGAAATTAACCAAGCACCTTTTCTCAAATACTTTACTTAATTACGTATTTGAATTCTTAGTTTCAGTTGGGAAATATTGTAATTTTTACCCAGTTTTATTTATGTCAAGTGTAATTATTAGTTACTTTGCAGGTTAAGAGTTTATATTAAAAACAAATGGTAATATAATATGTTTTTAATGATTAAACCAAACTTTTTCAACCTTTCTGGCACGTGGCTGTTTATAAAAAAGAACTGTCTGGGTGGAACCCCTTGTGTTTCAGATGTCTTTGTTATCGGTTGTTAGGAGTTACAACAAAGTGGGATTGATAAGCTAAATTTACAAGACAGTTGCATCTAAATAGCTGTTATTGTAGAAATTAATATGAGAAAGTCAAGAACACAAGGTGGCTCTTTTGTTGTGTTTATTATGAAGCTTTCGCCAAAGGACTCGGGGCATACAGGACGCAGTGATCTCCTCAGGTAACAAGCAGTCTGGCACGAGCACTCCCTGTTTATAATTTTGCTGTCTAAGAATGTAAATGTAACAATATGTTCTTGTGTGCCAACATACACATACTCTGATATCAGGGAACAAGATAGACAGCAACATAGGAGCACCAAAATGTATGCTCACTTCTCCTTTCTCCTATTGATCATCTCAGAACCCCTTAGATTTCTCTTGTGACTCTTCGCCTCCAGATTGAACCGAACATTATATAAAGTAGTTAAAACCAGTAGTGTAAAGTAACTAAGTGCATTTACTCAAGTACTTTACTAAAGTACAATTTTCAGGTATCTATACTTGAGTATTTTCATTTTTCGCTACTTCATACTTTGACTTGGCATTTATTTCATAAGTGTAGTTACTTTTCAGAACTGGATTAATACAGAAATTACAGTATAATCAATAGCATCACTTTATTGGTCTCTGGTGGAAAATTGACAAGCTACCTAGCAGTATGTAAAGTACTTCAAATTATAAGCATGTAGTGTAAGCTTGTTGAAACTAGCTTGCCCTTTACCAACTGCAATATTAAATGTAATGCGCACAATAATGCATCAGCAATTAGAATTCACTAATATGATATGCATTAATGTGAAACAGGCCATTCTGCATAATTAATACTTCTATGTTTAGTACTTTAAGTATGTTTTTATGCTAATAGTTTAAGTAATAAAACCTACTTGTAAGAGAGTGTTTTTAGACTGTGCTATTGCTACTTTTACTTGGGTAAGAGATCATAGTACATCTTCCACCATTGATTAAATATAGCTCCACCACAGTCAGCTACAGAGGTAAAATGCTCACATGCATATTGATGCATTGGTATTATAATCTCATAATGTTTATCTGTCATGGAGGCCTTTTTTGCAGAATGATTACTTTTGATACTTTATGTACACTTTATTCAAAATCTTTGTGTTATTTAACTTCAGTTGGATTTGTGATGCCCTATTAATAATTGGGTTTTTACATGGTAGTATAATACTTTTATTTAAGGCCAGGATCTGAGTAGTTCTTCTGGAGGTATTTCTCTGACCAAATATATATTCTGTGTTGCAGGTCTCTGACTGCAGGGTAGTGAGTAGGCAAATCAATCACCGTAAATGAGGGACAGCTGCTACACACATTAGTTATTCCACTCACACACCTACTGTTTACCCTTCTGGAGGCATCATGAACCAACTTCAACAAGACGGCAGTGATGGGAAGATTCCCAGTTGATAACAGCTTTGTGATACAGTGCACTCTCATTTCTTGTTTGACTTTAAAACCCATTTTATTTTTCTATACAGGCACTCGTATATAAACAGCATGAGGGAGGATTTTTTTCCCCATCTCTTTCTCTAAAAAAAACAACAACAAAGTGCTAACAACACTCTACATGTAGCTCATTACATTGATTTCAAACAAGCCCTCATGATAGTGTGTAGCCGTTTAGCTTTCACCAGATTTCCCCAGTGTCACTGGATGCTGCATATTCACTACGACCCCATGTCTCCTCGTCTCAACATTCCCATCCCGCCCCCTCATTAAGTGAATCATTTCTTGAGACGCTCTAATGGCTCCTAAATTGTTTATGGGGCAATTTAATTTGTGTGTAAGGAATCCTAATAAACACTCTTGGCACACTGACGAGTAATTATACGTTTGGCTAAATAGATAATTGGATAGGCTCAGAGATAGATTAGAGCATCTGTGGAATAGTGGTCTTGTTGAGAAATACAGTATCTTTTGAAGAAAAGCAGGCCAGTGGACTTACAGTAAATGTGCTCCATATTGATACTAAGAGAATAATTGAAATATTGCCTAATTTGATGTGTTTATGAAACTGGAAGGTCTTGATTTTTTTTTTTTTTTTAACAAATTAAACAGGTTTTGTGAAATACTGTATCGTGTTATCTCAGCAAAGAGTAAACACTGAAGCACTTTGAGTTGGTGTTTACAGTATTATCAAAGCTGCAGCACCATTATGAATCTTCATTCAATTAGATAAATGTTCCCTGGAAATCTCTAATATTGTTTTGGCTCACAAAGGAATACTAACCTCTGACATAGAAGGGAGTCTTTCACCATTGAAGTCGCACTAAATATCAGTGGCAGTTTGGTCACAGTGAGGCTGTAATGTGGTAGAAACAAAATTATACACCTATCCTTACAATAATGCATTGATTCACAATATTTATTTTTAAATTATATTGACTAGACTAATAATAATCTCCTCCAAAAGGATGCATGAAATCGGTGTTGTCAAACCAGAAGCAGCATACTGTGAATATACTGGCATCATAGATCATCATGGGTCTTACAATGATGTAGGTTTAAGGCTTGAACAACAACACTGACCATTTTAGCACATCAGTGCTGACATGAGCCTTTTGTGGGCTTCTGTGGAAGTGTTCATCAGTGGAGCATCAAACAGCCTGAGACTGTGTCAAACTGAAATCTTTACGCGGCAGAGCCTGAATGATTTATGCATTTGTCATTTCTCATTTGTTGAAACAAGGTGTCAATGTTTTTGTTCCATTGCACCAGTCAAGCCTGAAGAGACGAAGAGGTAAGGATGAAGAAAATGCCCTTGAAGAGAATAGCAAAGTCAACCAGGCAATTTAACCAGACTCGTCTCTTTTCTTAAGCTTGTCTCAAAGATGCAACGGTACAGACAATCACCCTGTGTCTCATTTGGAAGTCCTCTCTGTCCTTCCGCAATATGATCTCACAGTGCATACTTGTATATTTGAAAGAGTGAGAGAATAGTAAATGTGATCAATGTCTTAGGAAAAAATATCTTACTTGCTTCTGAAAGTGCCCACCCACTGCATACAGAGGTCAGTGCTTTGATCCACTTTCCACTTGCCACAAACGATTAGCTTACTATTTGCATAAAGTTTTCTTTGGCTGTCAAATTTAAATGAAATTTTTGAATGAAATATTGCTGTTTGTATATTTGCAAATGTTACTACAATGCAGATTTATTTATAAAATAGTAAATTGCAATGTTGTACTTTTAATTAGGGCCATGTTACAATAAAGAGGAATATTAGGAAAATCAGAAATTTTCGTAATAAAGTGCAAACTGAGAATTAAGAAGCTTGTTTTATTGTAGCCCTCATGCATGCCCATCCTACAGTACCACAGTCCTAGATGGCTAAGAGATGGAACCCAACCAATTCAGTCACTAAGGTATTCATGAAATATGTTATGGGAAGGATATCGAAGATACAAACTCGCCACAATCAATCTTCTTAGTGTAAGAAGATTAAATAAGGTGGAAAACATCAATGTCAGGCTGGTGTAACGTCACGGTAAAACATGACTGACTCCAACAGAGAGAGATGACTTCCCGTAAAGTCAATGCAAACCATGTCTAATCAAATGAGGTGCAGGATTTCCTTACTCACCCCTTTCCCTTGACTGCTCAGCATCATTGTGCTCGGTGCTGCATCTGGGGGCCGGAAACTATATATGAACACCACTGCTTTTAAACAGCAGCAGCGTATTGCTGTAGCATACTGCTGCTTGTGATAACAGTGGTTCAGGTGATAACAGATCACCTATTTCTGGTGAGATTTTTTTTTTTTTCAACCCAGCAAATTTTATGTAGAACTGAGTGACTGAAATGTTCAGGTTACATGCACTCGCCACCCAAGGCAGTGATACACAAGATGATGGCAGGGCTTGTTTTACAATGGAAAAACACAGGGATTAAATTGCAAAACAAAGAGAAAAGCAACATACTGAGATGCATCTTTAGTTACTTTAGAGTAATCACAGTGGTAGCTATATTGTGAAAATAATTCTAGTTCGTGTACACAAGGCATTTCTAAATCTATTATTTGAAAGTGAGCAGTACTGTATATGGGCACTTTAACTTATGTGACATCATATGCATGCAAAAGCAGGCAAGGAAGTACTGTATTCACACAGCACGTACACCCCCACAGCTTTTGGGCAAGCTTGGCCTCATCCTGTCAGTGCAAGAGCTGAAAGACAGGCTTTTCTCTGTGTGTCAAAGGAAGTGGTCCGGTATAGACATGAGGGATTCACTAACTGAAAACTGAACAGGGTAAGAAAGGAGGTGAGGGAGCGATAGAGAGACAGACAAAGAGGTAGGGAGAGTGACAGACATAAAAAAGAGAAACCAAGAGGGAGAAGAGGACAGTGTGTGTGTGACGTGGAGGGGGTTTAAAGTGCTCCAGGCTAAACCACGTGTGAAGATGGCAGAGCCTGAGAACTGCCTGCTGCTGGGGAAACAAGACAAAACAACAAGCCCAAATGTATAAACTTTAACAGCCTGTCCTTCCTTGTAAATGCATGAGCAATACCCAAAGCCCACTTTGACATTTCACTAACTCAGTCTGGGATATAAGGCACTTTGAAATTTTGGTTCCATCCACCACTGAACTGAGCTGCACTAGGTTAAACTTGCTGAATTTTAGTCAGAGTAAAGTCCGGAAGCACAAGGTCAGTGGATTCACAGAGGATTAGAAGCATAATACCAAAGTCTGTCTGTAACATAGATTAGCAACTGTGACAAGGCACAGCAGGTCTGGCAAGCATCGGATTTCTCCACAGGTCAAAGCAGTGTACACAGTAATAGAAAGTCTAAACAATACTTGTGCAACATCAAGTCTATAAGGAAGTGATTCATATATATGTGTTTGATCTAAGCTGTGGTTGTTAATGTACCTGGCTAACTATAGCTCATTACCTCTGAGCGTCGCTTCCAAGCTTTTACAGTCCAGCAACTCCAGCCAAACATGTTATGCAATAGAGTGTTTTAGTTTGACAAACAAATCAGTTAGTCATGCTCTTTCTCTTGAATTATTAAAAGTTAAAATACAACATTTGAAAATACAAACAAGAAACAAGTAGGTAAGCTAAGTAGCCAAATACTAATAATACTAGAACTAATTAACTCTACACTGCCATATAGGAACAAGGCTGCCTAAGCCTTTTAGGACAGGATGCATGTCCAGCTATCAAGTGCATATCTAAGACAGGCTTAACCTTTTAAATCAGTGGTCTCAAACCCTTTTATCCTCATCGAGTTACTTTGACCAAATGAAAGTGGCTCACAGCTACTCTTATCTAATATTACAAATTCAGTTTATTCACATATACTGTAACACTCAAACTGATCTCCAAACCAAAGTGTTTTGTGTAACCAGTTATTAAGTATCAATACCCAACACCTTTTGTTCCAAAACCATCACAGACCAAAACCTAATTTTATAGTTTGCATGGATATGATCCTGTATTCAGGTGTTGTAAAAACAACAGGGAGTTGGTTATTGTTGTTCAGGCTCCTTATTGAAACTAACTACAGTTAAGTCAATCACAGTAGAATTTGGCTTTAGTGTGACTTAACACTTCCATTGACATCACAGATGTCCACGTCAAATAAACGTCCATATTCCTGCTTAGAAATTGCAGAAAAAGATGCTCCTTATGACACCACAGTGTGCCTGAGTATCAAATGCATTGACAGTTGGCAGTACATCCAGTGGAACGTAGCAAACAGCAACTGCACAGTTTAACAATGTATAACAGTACTTACTGTAATGTGCTGATATGTAAACAAATATAGGCTAGAAAATTGGTTCACACAGCCCAGCTCACATACTTTCAGTGTTTTCTAAATGTTTATTAGTTCATATATGTGAAGACTTAATGTTTAATGCGTGTACAAAAGAGTTGCTAACATCACTGCACAGCGTAAACTAACTGTCAAAAATAAATTGACAGCAGTGTAAATTTTATTGACAAGCAAAAAATTTATTATGGTGTCGTAGAAGGTGGGATGTTTATTTGATGGGAGTTCAAACATTTCAAATTGAAATGTTTAATTAATTTAGATGTGGACATGTAGGTTGTGCAGCTATAGCATCAGGGCACTGACATCTTCCAAATCTGAGACCGGACAGACAGACAAGACACTCTGAAAGTCAAAAGTCCTAGGGCATAAGAAATGACTGCAGCACAATAGTAGTCTGCTCAATGTTCAATTATTGCTGATGAAAGGGACATTTTGTGGAGCGGACATCAGTGAGTGGGATTAGTGGAGGCGATTTCCTTGTCCTGGGTTGTTTGACAAAGTCTGCTTGTAATCCTCTTGAAAACTTTGCCCTGTTGGCTTTCTTCTGAACTGAAGATGGCACACTGAGCAGAAATAAAGATGTCCACTTACGGCTTGAGGAAAAGTGAGCAAACCCATACAAACAAAACATGTAAAGGTTTTGTTTTAAAAATGTAGCAGCTGCAAAAATGAAAGCCCAGTCTTATGTGTTTATCAGTTCACTGTTGTACACCAACTTCTATAGTGATTCACTGGATGAAATACTGGTTAAAATGAAATGGGTACATACTGTATGAAGCACTAGTAAATACTGAAACATAGGTGAAATGTATAATCTTCACTGCCTTGTAGCTGCTGATACTTCATCAAGTCATTAACTTGAATAGAAAACATGATTATACACAATTTCTTACTCTTAAAAGTCACAACAAGGTCAAAAAT